TGGTGTGCTATGGAGCATCTGGGGCGGGGTAAATTATGAAGCCGTGGAAAGACTACTAAGATTCTTTCTTAAAAAAGTATTTAAATTACTAAAAGCTATCCTTGATTGTGACAGAATGTAATATTTCTAAATAAACAAATAAAAAAAACATAAAGCATACAGCACATTTTATCCACTTTGAGACTAAAATAGATTCGTTATTTATCTTCACAATTAAACTCCATTTTGATTACATTATAAAAATTTTGAATCTTCCACCACATAGATATCCAAAAATATTAGCATTACAGATAATTAAGAAAGAAATTGGCATGGTTTAGGGACTTACTTAATCTGATTGAACTGCATGGATTAAATTTCAACTTAAATCGCTCTAACTGTGATGATATTAAACTATGGAGAGTTAATTTATAATTACTAAGAACTCAAATTCAGAAAAACATATATTATCAATATGTAATTAAAGTTCAGAATTCTAAAACTTTCACTTTTTATCCTCATTTAATTTCAGTAAATTATATTGATGAGAAAAGTTCATTGAAGGTGATCAGATGGGTAATTAAAATTAGCAAACAAATAATATTTGTAGCATGTATACTACAAACGAAACAAAAGATCTCTATCATTTCCTGGCTGCGTGTCCGATAATATCTGAATTTAGAATTAAATGGTTAAAGTCTAGAAATTTATCTCGGGATCAAGTAATAGATTTAATAAATGAAACAATTGGATAGCATTGGTAAATTACTGCAAGTCTGCTTTCTCCTATAGAATAATGCTCACCAGAGAATTTAACAATTGATAAATTGGAGAATTTCAGTACCACTCGTTTTGTGATAAAAATATCTATATAACTTTTATATTTTAAATATAAATGTTCTTATTTTCTTATTAATTAGTTGTATATAAATAGATTGAAATATAATCTTGTTAAAAACACAGACTCTGACGGTCAACCGACCATGTAGCACGTCTCATTTTCGGTTTTAAATTCAAAAATATTATTTTGTATTGGCTTGTAATTTATATTATGTAATTTTAATTAATAAAAAGACTTTTTTTTCTTCTTCATTGCACTGTAACTGGTGTTGAAAATGATCTTCACGAATCGCATGAGGATTTTTCTGTGGCCAGAGATGATTATTTTTCTGATCGAAGATACCTCTTCTTGTAGGAAGCTTCATCTGCCCAAAGATTTTTCCTGAAAATTGTGAATTGTGCTCAACTTCATTTAACTACAAATCTGAAAATCTTCTTCTTTGCCAAAAATCTTGCGGTAGTAAATTTTGTGCTCGTTGATAATGATATCAGTGAAGTCCATCTGCAATAAGAGTTCTCTATTCTGTAGTTGGCGTAATATTTAAAAATCATTGCAATCCTCTGGTTCTTTCTATCTCCTGCTCCCTGTTACCTGAACGACGCAGGTTAAGAAGAAAGTGGCCAAGAGATCTACTACTTCGATTGAATCAAAATCAAGGAAATACACCAAAACAGTATAAATCCAAAAACAGATTGCTAGATGCGCTGCCATGCAGGTGAACATTAGAATATAAATAAATAAAATAAGTAGTTAGAACAAATAAATACGGTTTATTTATTTCATATAAGGTAAATAATTCATAACAACGAAAATCTTTAGGTGTGAATATCTTCTAAACAAAGCGTTTGCGGACTTCCTTCAGAAGTAATTTTTTTCTTGTTTTGAGGTCCTTAGTTCATTGTTGCAGTTTGGCCACTTAACTCTGAAAGACCTCTTTAGTAATATATGAATAGTAAAATATGAAGCACCCATGAAAAAACATCGCTTGTGTCAAAGAAGTTGCAAGGAGCTGTTAGCACAGACCCGACATGCTTTTTGCGATACCTTGTTTGCGCTTGAACAAAGAGGCCCCGAAGGTTAAGACCGAACCGAGGAGAGGCCCCGAAGGTTAAGACCGAACCGAGGAGAGGCCCCGAAGGTTAAGACCGAACCGAGGAGAGGCACCGAAGGTTAAGACCGAACCGAGGAGAGGCACCGAAGGTTAAGACCGAACCGAGGAGAGGCACCGAAGGTTAAGACCGAACCGAGGAGAGGCACCGAAGGTTAAGACCGAACCGAGGAGAGGCACCGAAGGTTAAGACCGAACCGAGGAGAGGCACCGAAGGTTAAGACCGAACCGAGGAGAGGCACCGAAGGTTAAGACCGAACCGAGGAGAGGCACCGAAGGTTAAGACCGAACCGAGGAGAGGCACCGAAGGTTAAGACCGAACCGAGGAGAGGCACCGAAGGTTAAGACCGAACCGAGGAGAGGCACCGAAGGTTAAGACCGAACCGAGGAGAGGCACCGAAGGTTAAGACCGAACCGAGGAGAGGCACCGAAGGTTAAGACCGAACCGAGGAGAGGCACCGAAGGTTAAGACCGAACCGAGGAGAGGCACCGAAGGTTAAGACCGAACCGAGGAGAGGCACCAGCAGGTGGCACTCGCTGTGGGCCATTCTTCTGCTCCGGTTGCTATCCTCTGGTAGAAATATAAAGCCCCTACAGACTGCTCAGAAAGTTTTTGAAATTTTGAGGACCACGTTCATTTTAATATCTATAAGTTATCAATGAACAAGAACTGCCTCCGATCAAGATCACAAAGTGAACTGAGACATGAATTTATCGATCGGACTGAACCAGCTCTCCTGTCGAAAGTTAGTTGGGGAGGGGATGTGGGACGGCATATATTTTCCTCCACTTTTATATTATATTATATCGAAGGCCGTTTACGGTCTCCTTAACTTTCCTCTCCCCCCACTCCTATTTCCGTTCCTCTTTTAACCTTTGATATTTCTTCACCCAAGCTCTATGAAATATTAAATTATTCCGAGCCTCGACAACTTTTACATAATCTTTTAATGAGCTTAATTTTATCAAGGTTCCGCTATCAATAGAGCTAATGAAAGGTGGCTGCTATCGATATAAAAACCACCTTATTCAAAACTGTTTATCTCAACTAACTAAACTGCTAATCTCAACTAACATAATATCATCCTCGAGAATACTACTTTATTTATCCAACTGAGTTACTTCAGTATAAATTATTTTTAAAAAACGTTTAAAATAAATTATATTCTATTACAAAACTAAAAATTGAGATTTAATACGCCAATGCCCACTTAGAAAAAGGGAAAATAAAGAAATTATTGGAAAGCAATAAAAAAGAAATATACTTTGTACTTCATATGGTAAAATAAATCTCAACAACCCTTATAGAAATGGGTTACATGTATTTTATGTAACCTTTAACTTATGTATAGTCAGTTTAAGGCATGCTATAGTTTATTATTGTATAAATGAAAATCCATTATTAACAAAGTATGGGTATCTGTATTTTTGATTGGTGTTAAAATATAATGTGAAAGTGGCGGGCACCGTGTGTTGACTCACTGTAAATTGTAGTTTACTATTTACATATTTAAAAAGAAAATGTAAATAGTATTAACATATAGTAACAGACATCTTTATTGTTTCTATAACTAATGAAATATATTTCTACAGGAAAACGGAAAACAACAAATTTAACCAACATATAGTCCATGAAAAATATATATATAATAATAATTATTATTTTTTAATTTTGTACCTATTAACCCTCGTTAGATTTGAAAATATTCATATACTAGTGTATTGTTATCAAATGCCAAATTAATAAGAAAATGCAACTTATCAAAAGATTAAGACATCAAATGTTACTTTATCGATAAATATAATCCCCAAAGCAAACAAAAATTAATTTAAATCTTCATTTTTGTTTGGAACCAACATGTATACAAATTTCAGTAAGCTGTATCTTTGCTAAAAATTGTCCGATTGCGATGATTTTTTTTTTCCTTTTGTAGGGAATTTAGTAATATTTTATATAATTATGGGCATAACCATAAGTGTGTAATTTTTCAGTTATTCGCAAATAAAGTTTATTTCATAACTTGTTTGCCTGAATTTTCTACGTGATTGGACTATTTTGCCAGCCTGAAGGAGAAGGAAGCCTACGAAATTGGTTGCTCAATCTTGAGGTTTGGTGAAAAATTAATGACGATATGGCTTGCCGATCAAAAACACCATCGACAAATAATATAAACTCCTCCTGTCTCGATCATAGAGACCTCAAATCGACGAAATGAGACATGTATTCAATGACACTACTACAATTAATGTAAGGTTGTGTGGATGCGAACCCTATGCCTTGCGTTATCTCGAAAATAGTAAGATTGGATCTTTAAGATCCAATTTGTCCCGTATCGATCTACAGACCTACCACCGTTCCAGTATCGAAGCCTAGCAAAATGTTTGTATCGACTTTATTTATTTTAGAAAGAAAAACAAAAGTGTAGAATACGATTCGCTAACCTCCCGTGAAATTCTGAATCCAACGGTACCCCATTCGTGGTATTTGAGCATGACAGGAGCTTATATTTGGTACAAAACCGATTTCGAGCCTTACTGTAATAATATATGTACGGATTTAATAAAGGAATTGTGAAACATTTGACTTAAAAAATCATCTATCTACAGCATGCCACGAAAAACAACTATGATGATTTAAGAAAATACAAAATAACTTATAACTTTCAAACTTACAATTAACTATGAGATCTTTATTAAAATAAATGTTGAACATTTAATAGAAAACTTTTCGACCTGCAGCAGGCAACAGTTTATCTTAGAAGTTTGGTGTGGGCACGAGTGACGTCACGCGAGCACGGTGGTGGCTCTGAGCTGGGAACCCGAAAGTGTCCTCTCAAACGTACCTTTTGATAAATAAATTTATTTAGGTAAAGAAATATGTAAAAACATAATAATAAAATAAACCTCTGACTGAGAATAAATAAAATAAAATCTTTGGACTATATAATGGGTGGAGTCGGTTAGCATTTATTATTGCTATCAGCTATTATTCATGTTATCAGCTTGGAGACATCGAGTGAAGTAGGTTTTAATAACCTTTGGTCAATTCGCTGCCATTCATTAAGCTGCCATTCATTTCATATAATTGATTCCTGCCGGAACTTTTTGTTTCCGAACTTTGAAGTTCAGGTGGAATGAACTGCGCTGAATTGTGTTTAGTTCTGGAGGTTGAGGCGGGCTTGCTAACTGGTTGGGTACATTGTACAAAACCCATTCTCTTCTTTTAAGGGCAGTGTGTTGTTCAACATCACTATCATCTTGAAATATAAAATTATGTCTAATCCCTACTTTTCCATCTCTGCGAACTAAATTAAAAAATATTTAGATTATTTTCAGCGATAACAAGGTTTCCTACGTTGAGGTAAGAGGCACATCCTCAGACCATTACGTCTCCGCCTCTGTGTTTAACTGTCGGAAGTAAATTTCTCTGTTCTAGTTCTTCTTTAAACCTTTACAAAATGTACGTTTTTCCATCTGGGAATACTTCCAAATATATTAACTTGTCTTCATCCATAAAAATAACGTTTTTCAAAACAACAATAAGCTTATCTATATATTTTTTTAGCAAATACAAGCATTTTCTGTCAGTAAACTTTAGAAATGAATGGCTCCTTTCTTGTAATTGCCCCATGAAAGACTTCCTTTTATAGGACCCTTCAAATGGTAGAAACACACACCTCCTTTTGCGACGTTTTGCTCAAGTTTCTCACATCTTGTAGAGTGGTTCTGTTAAATTTGTTTTAGGATGTCGCGCACCCTTTCAATAAAAAATCGTGATTTGGAGGTATTTCATATTCAGCCTTCCGTGGGAGCCTCGTTGCAGTTGACTGGATTAATATGTTTTGGAATGAGGCTACTAAACCTGACCCCAACAGACAAATCATAATCCTACTTTTGAAGACAAGGAATGTCCGTTATTTTCTAGTTTACAAATAGTTTTTAATAGTTACTTTCAGGATTTTCTATTTTAAATTTGGATAAACCTTATTTTATGATATTTGGCAAAGCTTAATTTTTAGAAAAATAGGATTTATATTAATATTTATACTTAATTTTGTAAACTATTGGTTGTGCAAATATTTATGGTTGCCGCTCTATGCCTCACCTCTCTCCAAGAATATTTTTTACGTCCTCCACACCTTAAGTATGTTTTTTTTGTTCGTTTTATTCCATGTTAAGATTTTAAACAAATGTATATTTTTCGGTACCAGAAGTATTTAAGGAATTTTAATAAATGAGATTATCAACTCACATTGTTTGCTTCAATATTTAGTAGCGGCCTGTATTTCAGATTTGTAAATTTTTTTATCGTCATTCTAAAGAACATTTGTACGATTGGTTAATGATTAAAGAAGTTAAATCGATTTATTGTTCGGCATCAACGCTATCTTTAGCTTTTGTATGATTGGTTAATGATTAAAGAAGTTAAATCGATTTATTGTTCAGCATGTACGCTATCTTTAGCTTTTGTATGATTGGTTAGTGATTAAAGAAGTTAAATCGATTTATTGTTCGGCATCAACGCTATCTTTACCTTCTTGAGCTATTCCTTCACCAAAATTTTATAATCGAAACATCAAAAGCTCAGTTCACGCTAAAAGTATAATAAACTTCATGGACATGAAATTCATTTTCAGCTTCAGAAAATTCAGCTTTCCAATGGATATAATAACATCTAATGTGGAGAACATCCTGAAGATTTATGACAGATTAGAAGGGTGTTGTGTTTGTGTGCACCAAGAAAAAACGAGTTTTTAAAAATTTTTTAAACATTTTCGCAAAAAATACAGACCTATTATTAAATACAATGTATTTTATTGATTTAAAAAAAAAATGTGTAACACTGTTATGAGCGAATGCCTGATGGCGAAGCGGTTCTTAAGTTTGATGGCTTAAATTATTCGGTGAGATTCCGTGACTGTTTTGAAATAATTTGAGCTCAAAAATCTGTCGGATTGCTGTGTAAATTGAGTTCAATCAATCCTTCAAAAGGCACGTAAAGATTTTTTGAGCGTACGACATGATCGATTTTTAACTTTGACGGATGTGATTACTCAGCTGAATCCGGTGAATGTTTAGAAACAATTTGAGCTCAAAAAATTACTATGGTTTAAGTATCTCGATTATTGATTGGTTTAAAATGAAAGGAACCATACCACTACACCAAGTTTAAATATTTGTACATGTCCATTTCCCAATGTTTCAGTAGATAAGGAAGTACACTTCTTTAGGATGGATAGAATTTCTGAAGTAGGATTTTTAAAAATTAAAATATTTTTTAATATAACTGCATATACATTAATATATGCATTTCGAGTCATCACTGCCAGAAGTTGACAATACTGATTTGGCTACACCGACATCCGACAGAGAACTTAGTAGCTCATGAGCAAACCATTCCCCTTTCGTGCTAGGAGATGAGCCACTCTTTTATTGCTGAAGTTCTTTTAGCTCGCGATGAAGTACTGACTGCAAATTCCTGATATATTTTTTTTTTTTTATCTTCATACATGTACTATTATATTTTTCTATTTAAATAAATTAACCATTTTAAAAAGAAGCCAATTATTTTTATCTCCATCACCGTGCAATAATTATAATTATCAGATAAGTGTTTTCAAGTTATCGTTTTTATTCGGCGAATTTATTATTCCGTAATTCGGGAGAATTATGGACAACGCCAATTAAAGAGGTAGTTTTTTCGTTGATCCACTTTGCAAGGTTGGTGTTGCCCCTGTTGGATAGACGACGACACTGTTCGACATGTCGAATCATGTGCTCAGATGAAGCAACTGACTGGCAACAACGGTCAACTTGTAGCATGCGGCAAGGAGACACATCTTTTGGCGCTTTGTGTTCCTTCTATGGGAAGACTGTGTGTAGCATACGTCAATGCCGCATGCTAAATGTTTTCTAAATGTTGCCTCAGTGGAATTGCGCCTTTACACAGGCAGGTGGAGGATCAAGTTCACAGCAGTCGGTTTATAGCAAAATAATATAATTTCATCGGGTATATTATAATTTACAGCTATATGGAATATAAGGAGTACTGAATACGGAATATAATGAACGCACTATAAAAGAAATTTTTTAGTTTACTTTTCCTACGCCTGTCGACTTGGACTTTTTAAGTGACGAGTCTTCTTCAAGCAGCTTGATGTTGTTACAGATGACTGTAGTGATCGTTTAAGTGACGAGTCTTCTTCAAGCAGCTTGATGTTGTTATAGATGACTGTAGTGATCGTTTAAATGACGAGTCTTCTTCATGCAGCTTGGGGCTGTTATAGATAACCGTAGTGATCGTTGTGTTCTATCTTCTTCGAGATACCCAGAGAGCACGTGGTTTGCTAACCGGATGCTATCACAATTCACTTCCTCTTCATCAGCAACTTTCATGGTTGGGCTGTCTTTTGCTTCAATCTTCCACCGAGCTTTTTTTTATGGAATAGGGAGTTATCAGCCCTCTAGCCAGCCCCCGACCTGGAGGACCAGGAACTATGGTGTAAGAAACAGGAGTCTCTAGTCTCTCTAGGAGTCTCTCAGGGTGTGGACAATACCGTCTCTATCGAACCCGCGCCTTAGTGGTCTAAGTAACCTCTGTGAAGTTGGCCCCCATTCTCATTTTTTTTTTAAATTGAGCAGTTTTAATGATTTTATTCAATGATCAAATAATCTTTTCATTTTTTTTTCAAACAAAAATATAAAAAAAGGCGACTTCACGCAGGAGTAAATTAGTGAAAGGGGGCTTCTTATTTATCTTTTAGACCAAAGCGAATAGGGAGAGTCTACAGGCGACATTGGAGGCCGTAAAACATACAGTTAGATATCTGAGAGTGTAAATATTATAAGATATGTTCACTGACATTTCATACGAGTTAAAGATTTCTAACGAGGAAGCAGCAATTAGATACGGTAGGGTTGAAGGGTTCGGTAGGCTGCAGGGATCAAGGAAGCTTGTCGAAAGATTGACAAAAAAATGAAGAAGCATTACAAATATCAAAAGATAAGACATAGACATGAAGGATTTTGGACGAAAAAGGTGCAGTTTCGGCATCTGTAAGAGAAATGTTAAGGAAGTCCTCGAAATGGGTCGAAGGCAGGAAGTTGCCGGAGCTGGCTGAGAAGTGCACGGCCACATGACCCTCCATGTCCTCAGTGTTAGGTCGAGGTAGCTTTTAGGCACGCAATGTCTTCCGAGGTTCTGTGGTCCTCATTTAAACATTATGAATATGATGAGTTGTACAGAAATGTCATCGTTATACAATTATTGCGGACTAATGTAAATGACCACGAAGGTTATATTTATTTATTTTTATATTTTTTTCAAATTATTTTATTTCTGATAAATGAAATAATTAAACCATTGAAGTGCATATAATAGAAATGAAGAAAAACAAAATTTGTAGTAAAATAATTATTAATATTTAAATTATCTGTTTTAGAATAATAAGTAACTACTGCAATAGTAGAAAAAACAGCGATATTGAGATTTTTCACTTATTGAATAAATATTCTAACTTGTAAACGATGATGACGCAACCTGCCTGATGCGGTACCGTTGTACCCAATGCTACTATTGATCCTTATTGGTCCCAAATTAGGTTCCAGGCCGCGACAAGTATCCATCAAGCTGCTCGCAGCACTCAAAGCCAAAGCCGAGCAAATAGCAGTTTGTTACTTTCAGTTCCCTCAAGAATTCAACTCGCTCTAACTTAAATAAAGGCCGAAATAATTGAATTGCAACTACAAAGCACTTCAACACTTGTAAACTTTAAAGTTGATGCTTAACTTGTCAGTCTGTCTCTAACTCAGCTTCAGAGGCCTGATCGAATGGCCAATACAATAAAACGATGCTCAATCAAATCAATTTGTTAACATTTTTTATTAACTTGCTAACTGTTTGCAACTACGGCAGTTAGCATTTTAAATCAGTTCTACTCTCCATCTATACTCAAGTTACAGGTAAATCATAGGGCGTATTAGAAATGTTGTGTTCCACATCACAGGAAGTTGCGCATGTCGGTGGTGTTGGTCTGTTTGAAGAAAAGAAGATAGAAGATGAGTGACCTGTATTACTGAGGGAACCCGAAATCTCGCACAATTTTGATGCGTGGTTCAAGCGAAAATGTGTTGAATGCGAACGATCCTCGAATACTTTCAAATTTTCGATTCTGAGAACATATTTTTTAACCTCTCGTAGGAATTTAAAGCTTCCCTTCCTTAGTGAGGAAGCAAAACGGAGTTAACGAAAGCCCGCCATCATCCATAGCTAGGGATATTAAGTTGATTTTTTTTAAATTTCAATTTCACTATTTTTACCTTTGGTAGTTATTTATTACGTATATACAATCATTTTCGGTTATTTTTGGAAACATACAAAAAAAAGTATTTAGTCTGCCAGTCGGATCTGTAAATGGCGGTTGATTAAAAGAATATTAGACCAGTGACTTGAGTTTTTAACTCGTTTTATTTTTTTAACTTGTTTATATCGGTTGAGACATGTAAAACAACTAAATTGCTAGCGCGGGCGACCAAGATTTTTACAGTCAAAAAACCGAGATTTATTTGTTACTGTTTTTTCACCTATAACTAATAACCGAATTATCAAAGCGAAAAACGTTTTCTTTATGAAATTAAAGAACGCTAAATTGTGCGTCAAATTAGTATCTAAATATAATAATTTTTTTAAGTGGTATGGCAGTAATCACGATCAACTAACGATGATTTTTACCAAGTTTATCAAAAAATGAGATAAATGACTATAAATGGTGCTGCATCTTGGAAATGAGTTCTCTAAGAGAAAAATCTTATACTATAAAAGTTGTAGAGCATCAAAATCCGCGTCCACTGAGTATCAATATTTTTAATGTAGATCAATTATATCTCTTCAATTGTGGTTCCTTATAGCTTCATGAAATTTGTTTTTAGTTTACACCTCATTTCTCAAAATCCTTCGCCGCTGAGAGGTGGAAAATAGTCCTATACTATATTTAGTAGACTCTTAACGAGAATATCTCAGTAGAATAGACAAATATTTAAAAAATATACATCTTCATCAACATAGTCCCTACATCAACGACTTTCAAAAATCCATCCTTAACTGTTCCCATCAACTCTATGCCAATGATTCCCAAATTTATTTTTCCTTCTCTCCCTCAGAGTTGCAGGATGCGTTTCCCAAAATTCAAGATGACCTAAATCGAATCACTGATTGGGCAAACTTAAAATGGTTCAAGATCAAACGCTACCAAGACTCAAGCCACTGTCGTTGGTTCCAAACCACTTTTCAGATCCAATACCAACATTCCTATCCTGTACCTAAATGACCATCCCATCACCTTCAGCTCCTCAGTAAAAAATCTCGGCATTTCCCTATACCAAACCCTTTTCTGGAATCACCATATTGCTCACATCTCCCGACGGTCATTTGGTACCTTGAATCTATTCCATCGCTTCTGTCATCACCTACCCATCAACTCTTAAGTATCTTCCCTCGCCTTCATTACGACTGCGGGGTGTACGGTGGCTTCTTGGCGGAATTTGGAAGCAGACTTAAAATAATTATGAATGCCTTCCCAAGATTTGTTGAAGAGACTCCGAGACGTTCTCGTGTTTCTCACTATGCTGAGTTAGGGTGGCTCTTCCCCTCCTTCCGAAGGCAATATTTCCTAGGCACATTCCTTTATCAAATAATCAATAACCATCGTCCGTCCTACGCATACTATCTCCTACACTTCAAGTAATCAATCCACAACGTCTCCACAAGATCACGTCCTTCTGACCTTTACATCCCTTTCCACAGATCTGAGTCAATTAAACATTCCTTTTATTGTCCTTTCCACTGCATTCTGGGATTCCATACCACTAAAATCAAACGCTGGCTAAGTATGTAATCAAACTTGTTTCAAGAAACCTTTTCTTCTGCTCCTAATTCTAAATCAATATAGCTAACCCTTCGTAAACTCTCTCTTTTTAAATCCTCTTCCTCACTGATCTACCCAAGTCAGAGATGGGCAAAATCGTAATCAATGATTACATGATTACAACTGAAAATAAAACTTTATGACCACGCTAATTTTATACTTGATACAGTAGCACTATAATTATTGCAAAAGTATGAAACGATTACCTGATTACATGATTACAATCGTAATCATAAACCTGATTACGATTACAATCGTGTAATCACGTAATCAAAATCAATGTAATCGTAATCATGTAATCAAATTCACTGTATTCATAATCAAGTAATCAAAATCACTGTAATCGTAATCACGTAATCATAATCGCGTAGTCGTAATCAAAAAATCAAATACACACGATTTTCCTCTGTTTAGAAATACACTTAAAAAAAACTAGTATAATACATTTTCTATTTTCTTTCAATTTCCGGAACCACTTTCGATGATAATACCGTCGGTTTACCGATTAACATTTTTCTAATTTTCATTCTCTTTTCATCTTTTATCTCATGAATGAAGGGTCAGGTGTTTACCGTTCCAACACCTTTCGGCTATGTAGAGATAAGTGGAAATGGGAATAGAGTGTAGAAAATTTTCCGAATTTTCATTCGCTTTTCCTCTTTTATCTCGTGAATGGAGTCTCGGTTTTTCACCGTTCCAACCATTTTATAGCTGTTTAGAGGAAGGCCATTGGAAACAGGAGTGGTATAAATTTTCATTACCTTTTCCTATTTTTTCTTGGAAATGAAGGATCAGTTTTTCACCGTTCCAACTGTTTTCCGGTTATGTAGAGGTAAAGGAAAATGGGGAAGTTTTGAAGAAAATTTTCCAATTTTCATTCACTTTTTCTAAGATAAAAGATTTAGAGATTTAGATAAAAAAGGAAAAGCGAATGGAAATTCGGAAAATTTTCAACACCATTTCTCCGTTTTTTTCTACATATATATAGTTGGAAATGTGTTGGTGAAAAACCGAGCATCCATTCACGAGATAAAATGGAAAAAGCGAATGGAAATTCGGAAATTTTTTTTCACCATTTCTCCGTTTTTGCCTACCACCACATAGCCGGGAAACGGTTGGAACGGTGAAAAACGTGATCCTTCATTTTCGAAATAAAAGAGGAAAAGTAAATGAAAATTCGGCAAATTTGTACCACTCCCGTTTCCATTCAATTTCCTCTAAACAGTTATAAAATGGTTGAAGACTCCATTCACGATATAAAAAAGGAAAAGCAAATAGAAATTTGGAAAAATGCCTACACTAATTCTCCGTTTTCGCCTACATCAATATAGCCGGAAAAGTGTTGGAACGGTGAAATATCGATCATCGATTCGCATGATAAAAGAAGAAAAGTGAATGGAAATCCGGAAAATGTTGAATGTTAACCGACATTATTAACAAAGAAGGTACTCCCGGCAGCTAAAGAAAATAGAAAATGTTATATTCTTGTTTTCCTTTAAGCCTATCTCTAAACACAGAAAAATCGTTTGTATTTGATTATTTGATTACGATTACGCGATTATGATTATACGATTACGATTACAGTGATTTTGATTACAATGATTATAATTACATAATTACGATTACATGATTACGCGATTGTAATCAAAATCAAAAACCGTGATTACGATTACAATCGTGTAATCAAATAATTGTGATCTTTTTGATTATAATCGTAATCGTAATCGTAATCATAATCGTTGATTATGATTATGCCCATCTATGACCCAGTTTCACCTGATGAATTAAATTTCTACTTTATATGTTCCACCACCGGCAACAGCTCACCCACCTCTTATCAGTTTTCCTTATCACACTCATTTAACAGTGATAATTTCTATTTCTCCAACGTTTCACCAACCAACCTTATACCTCCATAATGAAATCCCACACAAACTCCATCGGACTTGATGGGATACCAGTCAAACTCCATCGGACTTGATGGGATACCAGTCAAACTCCATCGGACTTGATGGGATACCAGCCAAACTCCATCGGACTTGATGGGATACCAGTCAAACTCCATCGGACTTTTGATGGGATACCAGTCAAACTCCATCGGAATTGATGGGATACCAGTCAAACTCCATCGGACTTTTGATGGGATACCAGTCAAACTCCATCGGAATTGATGGGATACCAGTCAAATTCCATCGGACTTTTGATGGGATACCAGTCAAACTCCATCGGAATTGATGGGATACCAGCCAAACTGTTAAAATTATGCCTTCCCGAAGTCCTTCTAGTTCTCTTTTTCATGTATAATTTTTCCCTCTAGAAGTCAGTTTTTCTTACTGCTTGGAAAAATGCATTGGTCTGACCTATTAACAAAATACCCAATCCTACTTCTCCTAAAGACTACCGCCCAATCTCCTTTCTTTCTAACCTTTCTAAACCTCTGGAAAGTATAGCTCGATCCCAAATCTCTAAATTCCTTGAAAACTCAAAACTACTCGATCCTCTCCAATCTGGTTTTCAACCTGGGGCTTCTCCACACAATCCGCACTACTAAAAATTACCAATGGCTTACATACCGCAATGGACGAAAAAATATTAATTTGTAAATATTAATAAAAAAATAAGGTTTTGACTCCTTAGACCACTCTACACTCTACACAAATTAAAATCTCTATCCTTCTCCAACAGCTCTATCCTCTGGTTGCAGTCTTTTGACTCCTTAAACCACTCTATACTCTACACTAAATTAAAATCTCTATCCTTCTCCAACAGCTCTATCCTTTGGTTGCAGTCTTTCCTATCCGACAGAACTCAAGCAGTCAGCATTCCAAACCAACCCCTATCTACCTTACTCTGTCCTCTGGAGTGGCCCAGGGTTCGAGCATTTAATTCCTCTCCTTTTTAATTCCTATATAAATGATCTTTCCAAATCCATCTACCACTGTTCACATCATTTATACGCTGATGACTCCCAAATCTATTTTTCCTTTCATCCTTCTGAGCCACTAGTCGCGTTCGCCAATATTCAGGCGGAACTAGATAGGATCAGTGCCTGCGCAAATCTGAATAATTTAAATCTAAACGCGATGAAAACTCAGGCCATTATTATAGGTTCCAGTTCTATTCTTAAATCCATTTCCTACCTTCCTCCTTTAGTCATCAACGATCATCCTATCACATTCAGCTCCTCCGTTAAAAACTTAGGAATCACCGTAGACGAAAACCTCTCCTGGAAACCCCATATCGCCCTCATCTCCCTTAAGTCAATAGGTAACCTTAAGCTATTTCAACGCTCCTGCCACCTTAAATAGATATTTTGTAATTACAACGGTCTTAATGACTTGTTATCTGTAAGCTTTAGCTTCGTTTAAAATGCACTTCAAAAATTTTCATAATAGCACAGCATTGCCAGCAAATAATTTTTATTCAAAGTAGAGCGGTAAGTGAAAGTTGTTTGTTGCGCGCACCAGATTTTTTAAATATTTTATCACTAAAATTGGTTGCCTATAAAACTTATTTATTGATGTCCATGCTGCAGTGCCGATTATTGTAATTTGTATCAGTTTTTGATGAATTTGGTAAAAATCAGTGTTGGCCGACAATGGTTGTCGTATCATACTGGTTCACCAAATTATTAAGTTTATGTACTCATTCGACGCACAATTTAACGTTCTTCAATTTCTTAAAGAGTACGTTTTGCGCTTCGATAAACTGTTTAGGAGTTATAGCAGAAAAATAATGAAGATCGAAAAAATCTGACTGTTTTGGCAGTAAAAAATTTTCCTTTTGTGGCCCACCTTAGCAATTATGTTTATTACTTGTCTGAGCCCATATATACAAGATGAAAAATTAAAAACTTTTTACACATTTTTCGCAATGCATTTTCCGTTTCGATCCTCATTTTACTGGTCTAATATTCATTTAATCAACCGCTATTTTTACAGTTCCCATTCCTAGTGTGCCATTCACTTCCAATAGCCTGTTCTAAGACCAGAAACACAACAGTCCTTGTTGTGCAATCCTTGTTGTACAGTGTTTGTTGTACAGCCCTAGTTGTACAGACCTTGCTGAACAGTCCTTGTTGAACAGTCCTCGTTGTACAGTGTTTGTTGTACAGCCCTCGTTGTACAGACCTTGCTGAACAGTCCTTGTTGAACAGTCCTCGTTGTACAGTGTTTGTTGTACAGCCCTCGTTGTACAGACCTTGCTGAACAGTCCTTGTTGAACAGTCCTCGTTGTACAGTGTTTGTTGTACAGCCCTCGTTGTACAGACCTTGCTGAACAGTCCTTGTTGAACAGTCCTCGTTGTACAGTGTTTGTTGTACAGCCCTCGTTGTACAGACCTTGCTGAACAGTCCTTGTTGAACAGTCCTCGTTGTACAGACCTTGCTGAACAGTCCTCGTTGTACAGTCCTCGTTGTACAGACCTTGCTGAACAGTCCTTGTTGAACAGTCCTCGTTGTACTGTTTGTTGTACAGCCCTCGTTGTACAGACCTTGCTGAACAGTCCTTGTTGAACAGCCCTCGTTGTACAGACCTTGCTGAACAGTCCTTGTTGAACAGTCCTCGTTGTACAGTGTTTGTTGTACAGCCCTCGTTGTACAGACCTTGCTGAACAGTCCTTGTTGAACAGTCCTCGTTGTACAGTCCTCGTTGCATAATCCTCGTTGTAAAGTCCTTGTTGTGCAGTCTTTGTTGTACAGTCCTTCTTTTATCGTTGAATGTAGCCAACGAAACCCCAACTCTTGGAAAGGGTAGGATTCCTTTCAGAAGAATATTTTCGAAAATTTAGCAATATTTTTAATGTTTTTGGAATGGAAAAACCTTTCGCTGTTTAACGATTAATGGATGGTTTAAAAATAGGTTCACCATTTTATAGTAATGATGGTTATTATTAATAACATCATAAATTACTATAATTATATTTTAATAAAACTTATATTTTAATAAAATTATGTTTTATCTGTTTAAAGTACCTCACAATAGATTATTAATCCTTCAATTTTGATTGATCGGTAGTACGGATTCCGCCGTGGAGCCGAATAAGGGAAATTCCATTTTACCAATCTAACCAATCACAACCCTGCTGAATATTAGTTTAGTATTTTCTTAGTAATACTTTCATTTTTCAAATTAGAAATGTTGATAAATATAATTAGTATTTTATGATTATTTTTAAACCCATCAAAACGGTAAAATGCACGAGCATTAACGGGACCTTCTGTTTTGTTCTTTCCTACCGTAATTTACATTTTAGAGAACATTATAAGAATCCGTCCGCGGATTACGTTCTTGGAAAATTATTTCAACATTTTAATTTTATTTGGGGGATTAAAAAGTTTTTATCCTTAAAAATGTCTAACTTCGATTTCATAAAACATTGCAAACAACTAGACTATATAATTTTCTGAATCCCATTTAGATTTCCCTTTAAAGTTTATACCGTTCCTTATTTTATAACAAACCGAATGTAATTTATTAAGAACTTTATTGCAAGGCACATCTTATAAGACTTCTCATAACTTAAAAAATATAAAAAAGTTTTTCCATTTCCGAGACGAGCGCTGTCAAGGAGACATGGCTGTTTGGTACCAACTCGATGCTCGATATCGATAAGTACCCTATGATGACGATTTAAATAAAAAGTGGGTAATTGACCCTTCCAGGCTCGTGAAATAATGGAGGATCATTGCATTCCATTATTACCACTCTCCGCATCATGGTATTGCTAAAGGCATTAATATCCTCCACTGCTCTTCATTTTCTTCTTGTTTGATAAAGTTAATAATAATATTTCCCGACGACGTTTCTGAAATAGTTACTAATTCGTGAGGGAAAGTAGTGGTAAGTATTGACTGGACGCAAGGGGCAGAGAAGCGGTCGGCGCAGAGTGGGGACCAAATACCAAGTTTCAAGTTTTTTATTTCCTCCAAAGTCTTACATATTCTTCAAGTCAGGCAGCTGTAGACATCCAGTATACAAGGCATGATTGTTTTAAAAATGTTTCTCATCATCAAATTTAATTCCAAAGTGTTATTGCGAGAGTAAATTTTAATGAAATATGATAACAATTTATACAAAATTGTAGCTCAAAGAAAAAGGTAAAGTCCTAGGAATACTTCATTCTGAATACTTGATAGTTGATTTTTAGAATTTCATAAAATTTCATTTAAGAATTATAGGCTATAACGATTTGTCAAATCGATTGAACGAATTATTAACACCACTCACACGATTTATCAAGGAATGTCCTGCTTTCAGAAAAAAATGGTCAAATGAAGAAACGTTGTAGATGAAATTTTACAAAAAAAAAAATATCAATACAGTTTGATAAGAAATTAATTAATATAAAAGAATATTTATATATTTAAGAGAGTCAGAACATTTACCAAACGTCCAGAAATTGGTGTAGTCGAAACGGGGATACGATAGGTCATTAATAATGATCACGAATTAAAATATGTATGCTGCAAATGTTGTTCGCTGAGAAAGGTTATAATATTTATATACTTATATTTAATAAAAATATTTAACAATAACTTTTTTGACTTTGATGAGATTTATTTTTTAACATTTTATTTAAGCCCTTAAATTATCATGAAGGATTGGTCGTACAAACACGTTTCAGATATCAATCGATTCGGAACAAACAGAGCTGTAAAAGTTAATAATCAACTGATACCTATCCCATATCGTTTGTCTTGGTTGTGGCAATGGTGTCCCCAACTATGGTTTCGGTCCACTGTGTCGGCTGAAGTCTTCAACCCACGCAGCCACTAGGGCACTAATAGTGTAACATGTGACCTATATGACGCAGCCACTAGGGTACTAATCGTGCAACATGTGGCCTATATGACGCAGCCACTAGGGTACTAATCGTGCAACATGTGACCTATATGACGCAGCCACTAGGGCACTAATAGTGTAACATGTGACCTATATGACGCAGCCACTAGGGTACTAATCGTGCAACATGTGGCCTATATGACGCAGCCACTAGGGTACTAATCGTGCAACATGTGGCCTATGATGTAATATTAGTTACATGTGGGGTAAAAGGAACCAATAAAAACTGTCTATTCGGGTAGAAAGGTAAAGAGGGGATGTATCGAAAATTGATCATTATATATTTTAGTCACGATTTAACGAGAATTTAATCAAAACTTCCTTTTATTCGGTATAATTCAATACTCTTCATTCTCCATCTTGCTCCATCATCAGAAATACACGAATATTTTCACTTGAGGTGTAAATGTTGCACTTTTGTAATAAATTCATAATGTTTCATAAAAGTTGCTTGAAACTTTATTTTAAAAACGTTTTCTGAATAAAAGTTCTTTTATAACGAAACTTATTAAAAAGGTGCAAGCCCTGCTTTCTAGACCTGTCAACAGTATTCGACATGGGACAGTTGCTATTCAGCATTGATTTATTTTCTTGTACGGCCTAAGGCTGAGCGGCCATCGAAAGCCAAGTGCAACTTAGAACAGCTGAGTGCAACTTCGCTCAGTTAGCAACTTGCCTCGCTTCGGCATCCTTCTTATACTCCGTATAACATTTTTAAGAAAACATTTACAACAAGTATAACCCTTTAAAAAATCGAATGTTTTCCCTTACACATTCGATTGAGAATTCTTTCACACCTATTGCATACTCTAGACTGAACCAAAATAAAATAACTTGAGAGGGCGTGCAGTGAGGAACAAAGCCCACGGCTGTGAGGCAGCGGTGAGTCGTGTGGTCGACCCAAAGCCCCCCGCTCAGCCCCGCTGCGCTTCGGTGGCCGGTCGGCCAGAATGTTACCACGGTGGACGCATGGTCAACGGGGAAATGCTTAGAATCGAAGGGTGAAGAAGCAAGCTTTAGGCACATTATATTTTTATTTCCAGTTTATTAGTCACACTAGCACGGGTCCTACTAAAGTGAAGTATTGAAATAAAATTAAGAAATCTGGTGCGCGCAACACACAACTTTCACTTACCGCTCTACTTTGAATAAAAATCATTTTCTGGCAATGCTTGGCTATTTTAAAAATTTTTGAAGTGCATTTTAAACGGAGCTAAAGCTTAAAGCTTACTGATAACAAGTCATTAAGACCATTATAATTACAAAATATCTATTTAATATATCGACAGTAGACAATACAAATGTAGTCACTCTATCTAACTTGATTTCGGAGGTGGTGATTGCAGTGTTGAAATATAGAACTGAGAATAAAGGTATGAATTTAGGTACTTATTTCTTATGAAAGATGTTCTTAGGAAAGATACTTTATAAAATATCTGTAGAAAAAAGGTTTCTTTAGTTTCAACAATTAAAAAAGTATATTTTAAATTTATCCAAATATTCGCCTCTTCAGGGAAAAAAACTAGAGACCATATCTTTCCTCCTAATTGTCCGATTTTAACGATTTTTTTTTTAGGTTTTTTAGGAAATTCCATAAACTTTTAAAAAACCATATACAATATCACAAAATGTGTAATACTAACAAGTGTATACTTTTTGAGTTATTCGGAATTTAATTTTACCATCCCTTGTAAATTATTTTTCTTATATCGTTAAGTACGTTATATAGATAAATTTAAAGGGTGTCGAGAAACTGACTTTAGCGAAGTTTCAATGAAATCGGTACATTCGTTTAGGCGCTACAGTCTGTAGCAACGCAGGTTTTTCTGAATTTTTATTTTTTTCTCCTTTATTAACAGATCAAATTCTTTCAAAAGTTACAAGTAGAATTATTTTATAACTCTAAATAATGCGAAATGATTAACTTTTTAAAATAAACCATATTAAAGGTACTTTAGAGGAAGACATATATGAACATTGGGCATTTAAGCCCTGTAAAGTGACATCAACGGGGATAAGACCTAAATGATATTAAAGTCCACTTAATTATATAACGACCCACCGAGTTTAATCAAAATCGTTAGAGCCGTTTTTGAGAAAATTGTAAAAAAGTGTTTCAACGTTCATATAAAGTGGCACTTCCGGTTAGTCGATTTTAACGAAAAAGTTGCTGTCACATCCGGCCCATATACAAACCTTAAATACTTAATATCAGTTTCGTATTACTTTTCGTTTATGAGCTAGACTGTTAACAAACACACACACAGACCATTTTGCGACACTTGGTTATTTGGACTCAGGGGACCTCAAAACATGTATTTCCGTTGAAAACTGAGATTCGAAAATTTTCTCGATCGCAATACTTACTATATATTACATATATATGTAAGTGAAAGTATAATTATCAAACCTTATTTTTTGAATTCTTAATTACATATTATCTCACTATACCTAATGCCCAAGATGCAGAATATTGTAATATTCAATGATTAAATAATTTTAAAAAAATCACATTTAAAAAAAAACTTGAAAGTTTGTGATTGCAATGAATTAACCAGCGTGCGGAGATTTGTTGACTTTTTTTGTTCTTCCTTACCTCGCCTTTCAGGCTATACGGGGTTTCCCCGGAGGAAGGGGAGTGAGGTGGGGAACTTAAAATCCCCCTCAGCCCCGGGACACTAACTCGTACTTTTATTAATCTCTCAAAACTTGATGTATCTGATTCACGCTTTAGCCCGTTCGGAAAATAGAAACATAAAATAAAAATCTATTATAGAATTTTTCTTTTATTAGTTTAATCTAACCTGTTTAAT